TATTGGGCTTGAGAATAAAGTAAGTGTAAGATCCTTCTTTGGCAACTTTCTAAATCATCTAAAGCTTCTTAAAACCTTCTAGAACCTCCTATGATCTTCTAGAACTTTTTTAGAATCTATTGGAAAGTTTTGGAATTTTCTTAAACCTCCTAGAACCTTGTGGAACCTTGTGGAACCTTCTTCAATTATATGTTCGTGACATATTCTAAGATTTTTTAATCTTCTTGTTTTTGAAAATAGCCATTCTAATTCAATGTTATATCATTTTTGAAAGACTTTCTACTTTTTTTCAATAATATCAGAGTGTATTAAAGATTTTCTTTCCTTGAGATTCATGTCCCTGAGAAAAAGAGTCATAAATCATTTTCTATTAAAGATATAAACTAAAAAAAAAGCACTTCTAGATAGAAGTGTACCTATGAATCTAACTTGAGTAAATCCATCAGGATATTAAAAGGGAGACAACCTTAAATAGAGCTTGACTTATTACAAAAATCCTCAAATTTTTGATCTCATTCCATCAAACTTATGAAGCATATTAATCCGTATCTCCGTCATATATGTAAAAATGAAACTTCCTAGATTTGGTTGTGATGTCAATTTACTTGCTTTCTTTAATTCCACAACTTCTTGTCATAGATTCTTAACTTCTTTTTTAGAGGTAATATTAGTATTTTTATAGTTGGCTTTGGTGATGCATGAAATTTCTATTCTAAGAGTATTGATAAGTTTGTGAAGATTTGCAATAGTTACAAATCTATTCTAACTTCTATTAAGTGTAGCTTCTATGATTTTTCCTTCTATTTTGAATAATTTAGTAAATCTACAAGTTAAATTAGAGGAAGATAGTCCGCAATCTCTAATATCAAATGATAATTTTTTAAAAGAGAGATAATCTACTTTTTTTTAAGGAAAAAAAATTGGTATTAAAAAACTAAATAGTTTGTTTAAAAGTAGATAATTTGCAATCTTCAAAATAAAATAATAGAAGTGGAATAATTCACTCACTTCTAAAAAAGATAAAAATAAAAAATTAACACTCTTATCAAATTTTCAAGGATATAAATTTTAAAAAAATAAAATATCAATACACTCTTATGACACTTAAAAAGACTAAAAAATCACTCAAAGATGATATAAAATTAAACTAAAATGGCTACTGCTTAAGACAAAAAGACTAAAAAGTCTTAAGAGAAGATTAAAGGCTAAAAAGGTATTGATAAGAGTGAAAAAGGCTTCATTCTTGCCTCTATATATACTCTTAATTTGGAGCTATGTAGTGATATATTATAGAACCTCAAAAATATATTGACTTTGTAAGACATGTATCTTAACTTGCAAGACAAGTTTTCTATATGTATGCTACATAGTTAGCTTATTCCACAAGCTACCAACACATGATTAACTTATTGACTACATTTCTAACCTATCAATAAACTATAAATACATATAAAGTCAAAAGAGTATCTATATAGCTTCTAAAAAGATTCTCTAAAAAATATTATAAAATAAATCTACTTTTATCTACTTCTACTTAATCATATAGATAAATATCATAATAATTATATATGTCTATGATAGTTTTATAAAAAAATACCAAACTTTTACATGCATGCTCAGCTTGAATTGTTTATTTTTATACGAAAGAATAATCTAGCTAATATTTGGTGGTCATTTATAGAGCTCCTTTAAGGCAGAGAAATATGCAAGTGAAGGTTGCAAGAATCGAATTTTGTAATTGGAAGTTGGGAGGTTGGGATGAAAGGATAGAAATTGAGAAAATAGAGGCTGCAAGAATGGGACCAAGGAGAACGAGGAGAAGGGAGGAGGGATGAGGATAAGGTTAAAAGAGATGTAATGATGGTTTAGACATATAGATCAATTTAACAAAATTTTGGATCATTTTAATATTTTTCTATATATATATAAAAACTAAAATAGCTATTATCAAAGGTAAGTAGATTAGAGATTCTTAAAAATAGATTAGAAGTAAAAAAAAATATTTTTAAGAGTGAAAAAGGCTTGATTATTATCTTTATATATACTATCTATCTAAAAAATTATATGGCAATATCCTATCAGCTACATAACACTTGTTTAAATTTTGTGACATGTATCTAACTTGTGTGATATATAAGACAAGTTTCTAACATATGCACCACATTGCTAACTTATAATATAAGTGGCCAACATGTCAAATATGTAGCCAACTTATTTACAAAGTTTTCAACCTATTAATCACCTATAAATACTTATAAACTCAAGTCTACATTTATAAATCTTTTAAAAAGCTTTTTAGTGAGATATTATCAATTTAATCTACTTTTATTTATTTCTATTTAATTCTATTTATTTTTACTTATTCAAATAAATATATTAGTAAATATTGATATTTATGATATGAAATAGATTGTATTATTTTTTTAAATAAGCAAGTTTGATAGAATAGTATTTTATCTTAATCTAGGCCAAAAATAACATTGAATGGTTAGAAAGCTACAATAGTTGATTTTACTTTATATGTATGTTTTTTTCCTTATTGATCTTATGAAGATGTGATACTTTATTAAATTGTATATCTACTTTCATTACTATTCACAAAAAATCATTCCATTATCTATTAAAGTTATTAAGTAATAATTTCTTACTTACAGTTTCTTACTTATGACAACTCTTTTAAATTTTTCTCTAAATTCAAGAAAGAAGAAAGCTTGTGCTTATTGTTAATTATATTATATCATCACCAAATGATAGTTTAATGGATTTTTTTGTGTGCATTTAATTTATTTTTTAAAAAAAAAGATACAACAAAATTTAATAGAAATAATTTTAAAGAGTTATTTTAAATATGAATAATAAGATTACTTTTTTAAAAAAACTTTCCAAGTCTTAATTATAAATTATTTTATTCTTGAAAATACCATTTTTTATAATTCCTACTTTGTGAAAATACCATTTTCTTTTAATGTATCTCTTCTACTTTGTGAAAATACCATTTTCATCACATTTGTTATAATTCCTACTTGAAAACAATAGTAAAAGAAGAGATTATTTTAAACCATAGTAATCATAGAAACATTACAATGAATCTGCTGCAATGTGTTGCTTTTGTTTTTAGATTCACCAATGGGCCTCATTAAGTTTAACTTTAATTTCAGGCAAACTTTGTGAGATTGAACTGCCATTTTGGACACCATATAAGAAAGGACCAAACATTCTGTAAATTCCATGTCATTAAGAATTGTCAACAATAATCCAAAACTTTGATATTGAGATCAACTATAAAAACTTTCACAATTTACATGTAGCTACTTAATATGTAATATAATTAGTTCCTTTTTTAAAAAAATTGTTGATTGGCTAAATTTTTCTACATGTGCATGAATTTTGTTGATTAGATGAATTTTTGAGAAAGAAACGTATAATATGCTACACAAAACAACAATGTAGCTATTCAACCATTCAAAGACATGTTTGTGTAGCATCTCTCCTTGAATAGTGCCCAAATTCCAGATAGCAATGACTTTTTGACCAAAGACAAGATTAGTAGCTTAACATCCTCCCTCTAAACAAACTGCATCATCAAATCAATACCCACACACTGAAACCTCCTTGATTCCTCAGTTGGGTAGAACAAAATGTCTCTCAGTCAAATCCCATGATGAGATACCTCCTTATCTGATTCCTATTGAGATTTGCAGCTGTATGCCAAATGATTGATGCTTAATTCTGTTCTCGCAAAGACTTGAAGCAATCACCGCTTTAAAGGAGCAATTTAATTGACAAGTTTGGGATTGGTGTCTAGACCTTGCAGACGTGGCAGATGACGTGGAAAATGCCGCTCTCGACATGGTGACACGGCAGGGAGAGCGATGGATGAGGGATGACCAGAGACATCTTTCATCCAGAATATTGTGAGGAGCCCCACGAGAGTCTTGTGCCCACGTTTTTCAAAACTTGACCCTTCTTTTAAAGCGAAAATAATTGAGATCTACCATTTTATTTTTTTCGTTTTATTTTTATGTTTGAAGGAGGGTCAAACTTTTGGATGTCGGTTTCTGTAATCAATATTTGGATACAAACTTAGAACTCCAACAATTTTTCTTGACAGAGAAATAATTTGCTGTGGTTTTCAGTGGTGGCTACTTAGACTTGTAGAGAGACTGAACATGCACAGAATTGAATGATTTCTTATTACGATATAATATTATGAATCTCAAATTTTGAAATTGGTGCAAGCCAACGTATTTCAATTTTTTATTTCAATTTTTTGATTATTCTTAAGGCCTTCATAACCACCTTAAATACAACATATTTTGCATGCCATTTAAACGACTAGCTTGCGGTATAACTCCTATGACCTCCAAGACTCTTCAATTCATTTACCACAAACTGAAACACTTTTTATTAGCTATGGTAATGAGTGAGCTTGAGGTGGGCTATGTTCAGAGCGGCAGGAAGTAAATATTGTCCAAGTTTACAATGTTCTTGACACTGGTGTACACATAACTGAGCCTGTAATCCGTTGCGATGTGTGCAGGTGTTGTGGGTCTGACACCCCTGTGGTTAACCAGGCTCTACTGGAACCGAAGCCTGTTTTTGTATGTGGAAAGGGAACCGCATCGTCATTCTGGACAGTCTCATGTGGAGGAAATTACGTCCACTGTCTTTGTGGGAATTTTTTAGTCGCGGGTGTGTATCCTGTACCCACCTTCAATAGTATCAATAGCTAAGTATCAAGAGTCTCTTTTAATATTGTGGTATTATATATGCTACATCTTGCAGAATCAACGCTTTGAGCACGCCTTAATTACGTGGTTGCGTAAGCAGGAATTGCAGTTTTGGTGGGTCATGCATCTTTTCAATATAACTACGTGGTTGCGTAAGCAGGAATTGCAGTTTTGGTGGGTCATGCATCTTTTCAATATAACTACAGGAACAGCTCTATCCTACGTCATGCACTTTAAGGAGTCTCAAAAACTTAAAACATTTCGTCTCAGGCTTGAATTAAAAATTTGATAACGATGATAAAATACAGGAATTCGGGGTAGGAACTGAGAATTGAGGGGCTCGGTATCTGCTTGTGTCGATGATCTTTCGATCGATTTTCACGTGGATTTGTGTTCATCAGTGTTAGCCTTGTCGGCTGACTCGATCTGGCGATGCGCTTATGCAGCGAGGTCTAAGTCGCCGGATTGATGAACGACGAGAATCTGCAATCATAACACCTTCGGGGGATTCTGCCCTTGTGTTATGTCTGTATAAAAGGTATCGTACTAGAGATTGATGTCAATTCATGGGGTAGATCTTCTGCTTAACCTGACCTCGCTCCTCTGTAAGTTACGATGAGTTATTTTGATAAGAAGGTCCAGTCTGTTCAATTCCACTGTTCAATTGCAGGCATATGCAGACCCAGTTGCTCGACACTTAGTTGCTCAATCAGGCCCAGTTTATCAAGTCTAGTGTCGATCGCCGTCAGTTAGCTTTTATCACAATACCTCGGTCATTACTTCATCGTGATTGAGAGCTTTTTTCTTCCCGCAGTATGACTTCTGGATTACTTTGATCATAAAGCTCAGCGGTTTTCAGCTCCTCAGTTGTCTATAGTTACAAACCGCCACGGGCAGTGACCTTCGTCTTTGGCTGGCCGGGTGCAAAAAATGGCTTCTCTAAATGAGAGCGCATTACTTTCCGGATCATGGAGGCGTTGCGTCGCACTTTTGCTATCTTTGTCGCTATTGATGATGGGCTCAACTCAAGCTAGCAGGAAATTACAAACAGCTCAACCACAACTGCGACTCCAGGCGTACGGGGACAATACCGACACGCCTATGCACGCTCCTCCAGCTCAATCTTACTTGGTTTCAGACGGTAGCTGGGTAGATTGCGTTCCCATTGAAGGGCAAATTGCGGCCCACCACCCTAGCCTCAAAGTTCATATTATCAAGCTGAGGCCATCGGTACTTCCCAATATTCGCTCTTCATTGAGGGCGGAATTGCATCCACAATTGTTTGCTCGGGAGTATGGTGGGTGCCCAGACGGACACATTCCCGTTCAACGAATAGACCCCAACCGCCCCTACATGCAAAAAGATCGTCCCCCTCAAGCCCCTGAAGCGTCTCCAGCTGCTGCTGGAATCCATGAGTATGCAATAACAAATATGCCGAATATTCCCGGAGCTTACATAGGAACTGCGGCTTTCCTCAGTGTAAATGACCCCTACGTCGCAAATACCTCGGAGTTCAGCCTGTCTCAGTTCTGGGTTACCGCCGGGTCCTACACTGACAAGAGCCTGTGCACAATCGAAGTTGGCTGGCAAAAGTATCCCCAGAGACACAAGGGTGACGCGGACTACGCTCCTCACCTTTTCGTGTTCTGGACTGCAGACGCTTACCAAAAGTTAAGCTGCTATGACTTGCAATGCCCCGGCTTTGTCCATGTCGACCAGTCGTGGGTCATCGGAGGCGCCATGCCGTCGTACAGCACTTTGAAAGAATTACAAAATGGGATAACTTCCGAAGTTGCTATTCGAGTGCTGTACGACACAAATGATCGTGTCTGGTGGTTATATCTCGACGACGTGCCGATTGGGTACTGGCCAGCGTCGATATTTGGCAGTAAGTATTTGCAAGGGACCGCAGCGAAGGTAGAGTGGGGAGGCGAGGTCTACATCGAAAAGTGGAACAATACGGCTCACTCGAAGACTGCGATGGGGAGTGGTTTGTTTCCCACCGCGGGCTACCCAACATCAGCATACTTCAGAAACATCACGTACGCATATGCTAAGTCTGGATTTACAGACCTGGATGCCAATGTTACGTTTTTGAAAGGAGCTATGTTCCGGGACGATCCCAATTGCTATAATATAGCGGTTCAACAGAAAAATTACTCGAATTGGGGGTCTTATTTTTTTTTCGGAGGAAGTGGAGGAAGCAACCCTGCTTGTAAGGTCAAGCCATAAATTCGCTGAAAGCATGAATAAGATCGTCAACACCAGCGGTTGAATGTGGTGGATCTAATATTGTGTTCATGGATGATGACTGTTTGCACTACGCTAGAACCTAAACGTAGGCAAGGAATAAAACATTGCGTGTGAAACCGCAAAATTCGTACTCATGAGAGTTAAATCAACGTCACTGCCTCTTCTTGCGGTGATGAAACCAATAGATGATATTTTTGACTCCTGTAAAAAGAGCATGAGTAAAAATAGTACCTTGCTCATAGTTGTAATCACTTTCGTTTCATATTCAAATAATTACTGTGTAATAAAGTGCGTCTCACACACGAGTGGCTGTGCGACAAATTGTTTCCTTGATATTTTATTTTATAGGATACCGCTGAGGCTCACATGTGGGTGTCGCCTCAGCACAAGCCATCTGGTGGGAGATTCCATTTAATCTAATATTCTTTGTGGAATCCATTACCTCCCTTGACTCTAGAATTCTAGAGTTCCATGACATTACTTCTTTTCTTGCAATATGGTCCTGTCTAAACTGATTTACTTCTTGATCTAATTGTTGTCTTGAAGTAGATGAATGAAGTATCCATGATTGTTTGTCTCCTCTGTTAATTTTTGTAACATATGAATAGATATTCAATTGCTTCATCTCAGTCTGTGTTTTCGTATTAAAGAAGTGATACTTTTCTAAATGTTTGAACCTTGGGCCATCTTGCTCTTTACCTCCCAACCACTTTCAGATACATTCTTGCACAAAATTACGTTGAATGACTTGAATACAAATGCATTTTGAAGAACATCTTCAGCTTTGATTGTTTCTATTTGTTGCATGTTGTTCTTAATTCAAGTTCCAATTGTATTATCTTAATTAGGAATATTTATTTTCATTAATTTTTATTACATATCTATATTGCTTCTTTGTTTACAGTCTTTGCCTTAACGACTCATAAGTGTATTGTTTTTTTAGAATTTGACTATCTACAACAAATGACTTTAGTTTTTTTGGAATATATAATAATTAAAAAATTTGCATGGATAATGATGTGTATACTAAAGTTCACATAAACATCTTTTAAACTCAAGAATACCAACGTCCTTTGTAAAAATCAATTATCGAACAAATGGAGACTTAAGACTAACACATAGTTTAATCAGATGGCCGAATTTTCTTCATACGGAACTTCATACGGAACTTCATACGTAGTTGAATGTTAGGAAAGAGTGATTATACTACCAGAGCTTTTGAAGACCTCCAAATTCCGAGCGTGCAGGGGTGCGCCACCTCAGGATCCCAAACTTTGGACAGCATGAGATTAAGAGCTTTGCGCACTATCAATTGAGCCTAAATCTGCACCACAATTATAGAAATACGTGTAAAAAGCTGCGCTTTTGCGCTATCATCGGGCGATGTGCTCCTGATGAGGCCAAGTGGCTGGGGTCACGGCATGCTGCTCGCCTGTTAAGGCTTGTGAAGTTGCGGCTGTGGCCAGGTTTAGTGCTAACAGTTTACTCATTGTTGATACAGCTAAGCTGTATTTTGCAGCTGGGCTGTTTGCGTTTCTTGGCTCGAGACAGTTCTATTATTATTTTTTAGATATTTGCCTTCTAATAAATGGCTATCTGAACCCTCTATTCACAATGTCTACTTTGTGTAAACCCTAAGCTAGTTGCATAGTTTGTTACGTTTTCAAATTGGGAGTTCTCTGATGGCATCCTCTCACCCTCAAGGAGGTGTATCCAAGTTATTCTCAAGGTGAACACTCCATCAATTAATCTAAATAGATTTGAGTCTTTGATATCATTGTTTGCTAGTATAGAAAAATATTTGGAGATAATTGTTTGTATTGAGTCTTGTAAGTGCTTTGGTTAGTGTATTGCTGGAATCTCTATCTAATGGTTGGAGTGGAATGTTGTTGGGATTGCCCACAATTATTTTGGTATCATTGTTCTTATTGATATGTTGTTCTAATGGATGCAATCTCCACTCTAAAATGTGCTTCTTTGCTGGTTGTTCCTTGAATCCTTGATCTCATGTAGTGGTCCTCCAATCCTTGATCTCATGTAGTGGTCCTCCAATCCTTGATCTCATGTAGTGGTCCTCCAATGTATCAGTAATTAGTGTGGAATGTCTATTATAGAAAAAAGGTTGTCTATAGCTACATGAAGGGCAGAATGAGGTATAGGTCTAGGTTCTTTGGTATTTTGGTGTAAATGAGAGGCCAAATCTATAGATATAAATAGTGGAAGAGGGATTAGTTTCTAAGTGAGTGGATCACTTGTTGCAAAAATTATGTCTTTTGTCTATATTTTGATAAACAATTATTTTTGTTGTTGGTGTTTATTTGATGGCTTGATGTATTGATGTAGTTTCTTCTAAGCCTTGAAACTTATTTGTATGGTTGTCTTTTAGGCTTGGCAGAAGATCTGTCCAATATGAATAGGTGTACAATTTCAATCAAAGGTGCACTTAATACATTAGATATTTCAAAGTATTTAGGTTTTTAGAAAAAACCATGGAATTTTGTTAAACACACAAACTATGGAGGTAAAAATAATATATTTATTGATTGTATTTGGATCCAAACTACTATATAATATGACTTTCTAGGAGGTTAGTTACATTATTTATTATAGTAAATTATAGCAATTCCAAGAAGGCATATAATTATACAATCTCAAAAAACTTATTGAATGGTTTCATTTTCTTTAATGTTGCAAGGTTTGCAAGACAAATCCGTTGCCATGACTTGTTGCCAATAGCATATTAGGATTTTCTTAGCAAACATAGCCATTTCATAGTTGCTATTTTGTTAGAAATTCAAGGGTGTCAAAGATTCTTGTAAAATTTATAATAATAAGAGTCTTCAAATTGGTGAGGCTATCGTAATTTCTCTCTTTTGAGTGGAGCAAATCTATACTTGATGCATATTTAATACCATCTACTTATTGTGTAGTTGTATAGAAGGGTCACTTTTTGGTTATCTTGGTTTGCCTATTTTTATTTTGTAGGATAAAAATTTAGTACTTGTATAGATTTAGGTCTTTCCAATTATAGAATAGATGGCTATTGAATTGATTTGTCTTAATTGAATCCTATGAATTCTTTCTTTTTATATTATATGATAATTCTGAATTATTAGAGTTCTTTTATATTGATCTATAGGTGGCTTTTATGGATGGCTTTAAGATCTTTAGAAAGGAGCTCAATATATTTTGTTTTCATGAGGATATTTTCTTTAATGCGCAGTATGTGGTAGACCTTCACAATGCTATTATCAATATCTAGAGCGGACTAATTCTTTGGTATGTAGATGGGCATGTTAGACAAGTATCATAGAATACTGTTATATAATATGTAATTTGTAAATCATTTTTACATATTCATAATATCTAAGTAACTATTGAAGTAAATATGTATATTTATGATATTACTCCCTTTGATAGAGATGAATTCCATAGGGAGCAATAATCACATGTTGATGAAGTTTAAGATGTGGCAAATTATATTTGCCACAAACTTTGATCTTTGTTTCCTTTGAAGGTAGTTCATAGGTCCTCTCAATCACATATAATATTCTATTTTAAAGTAAAAAGACCACCTTGTTATTTAATTAGTGTTGAGGCCTTTGTAACTTCTTTCAAACAAAACATTTGTAACACCATTAGGAGTCATTCTTACCTTCAATAAAGTCACTAAACATTAAGAATCTCTTCCAAGTTCATGATATCAAATATATTGTATCTCGCCATCTATTAAAAAAAAAAATGTTATATTTGAAGGTCTTGATTTTGATTACATCATTTTGATTAAGGCAATCCTTATTTTTTTAGTAGTGAGAAATTGCTTTCTTTTTCATCTTGATTTTGATGGCTGTCATTGATAAAAAGCATCAACATTCTTTGCTGAATTTTAAAGATTCTTGGCTAGCTCCTATGTGAATTCACTAATATCATACTTACACCTATGTAAAAGATATTTCAAAAATTTTTAGTACCACCTTGAATCTAAGACTTCTTCAACTTCAAAATCTTTATTATTTTCCACTTTTATAAGAAGGGATGACAATTGTCTTCTTTTTGGCGTCATATTACATGTATTCTTGCTTGAGAATGGACTAAGTATGTATTTGTAGAAGATAAATAAAATTAAATAATAATTCTATCAAGTTTAATATAATCTCAAATAAACTTTAAGTAATCTATAATAATCCTAATTAAACTTTAACTAATTCAAAATAAATTATTTTTTAAAATTATTTAAAAATTTAATAAATAATAATTAAATTATTAAATTTGACACAAAATTTGCACATCTTATAACAACTAAGTAAGCAAAAAGCATAAAAAATTTGAAGAAGATCACACATATCAATAGCAAAAAAAACTTCCAAAACCATTTGGTTGTTAGTTGTCATTCTTCTTTGATTTGAATGTTGATCTTTCAATAGAGATGTTTCTTTGCTGAATCATTCAATTGGTTCATAATTTGGATTTTAAGAATATATTTTAAACTTAATTAATACTAATAATTTTTTCTTTAATCAAATTAGTAGGTATTGCCAAATTATAAAATCCTTCATTGATCTTAAATCTCAATTATTTGAGACTATAATCGACAAAAATCCTTATATTCTTCAATTTAACTACTTGATTGATCTTAAATTTTTTATACTTATTTATAAAAAATAAAAATAATTTTTTTTCAATTTTTACTTATAAGTAAGCTATTAAACTCACAAAATCTTAAAATTTATTAACTTATTTTTATTTTTAAAAATTTAAATCCACCAAATACATCATCAACTTTGAAAATCTTCCAAAATCTCAATATCAATCCAAATGACATGAAACTAATATTCAAAAATCTTTTCTTAAGTTTTTTCTCAAATCTCATACAAAAGAACCTTAGAGTCGCCATTGCTATGTAGTTTTGTGCCTTAAGGTCTAATTTTGATTCAAATTAATAATTGATCTTTTCTAGATATCAATTTTTGGTAATTTGAGATGAATTTTGATTTAATTTATTATTAATTTCCTCCTAAATATGCTTATATTAATTTTTTATCTCCTTTACTTTGATTTGGCTCATTTATGCTTCTACAAAGTAAATAGAAGTCCTTGCTATAAAAAATAACATTAAGACTAAATTTTTTATTATCTTTTTACTAGGCTCCTCTATAATAACATCTATATTTTTATTTTTCACCATATAATTGTGTTACTATACAATATCTATATGTTCATTGTCTTGTATGGTTAAAAAAGAGACATTTGAAATATGGGTTGGATCTTCATAGACTCCAATAGATATAATCAAAAGGCAATTGAATTGATTTATTCACAAATAAAAAATTGAA